TTTTTTTTTTTAATATATACATATTTTTGGTTGAATTTCCAGCAATTTATTTATATAATTACCATAATATAAAATTATTCATACAGTGGTGAAAGATTTTGGTTATATATATATACACATATACATGTATGTGTATGTGTTACATATATATATATATATATATGTGTATATATACATACATACATACACTTTACAATAAAATTATTTATCAAGCTTCAGTGCAGCTGTTCAAAGTATACAGAAGTCACTCACAAGACTTAAGGCATAACTATACCATACTATAATGCATATGGCTTTTAGATGACAGCGTGTCAGTTTATGAACATCGGTTCGCTTTTACGCCTCAGAAATAGACTCAACACAAAGCATGAGTCTGAAATACACAGTTTAGTTTGAGATGCTTTTCTAAGCACTTGCAAAACATGTCAAGGGAAGACAAATAGTTCCCAAGACGGTGAGAATGTCCAGAAGGGTAAATGGATGATAGACAACACAATACAGCACTTGTAATGTGTGAAATCTGTCATTACACATATTCAGTTTACAGTAAACACAATATAATGAGTTTACGTGACAGAAAACAATTGCAGGACAGACAAAAAAAATAAGTTACACATGCATATCCAGCTAGCATACCCAAGGCACATGATTCATGCATATAAATAAAATGATGCAACACTGCAAGAACAACACGATTACATGCCACCATTTCAGCTGAACTTTTAAAGAAGCCATATGTGCTGAATCCACAAAATTACACAAGCCTATTTCAGTTATGTCTGGCAAAAGTCAAAAAACAAGACAAAAACCTGCTTCTCCAACCAGTTAAGTTACCACGACAATACTGACTCAAACTGGCATACAAAAGAGCTTTTATTCCTAGCAGAAACATTCAGACATTATAATTATTTACACATACCATCAACTGTGCTATTTCAGCTTGTTTGAAATAAGAAAAAATGCGGAATGGCGGACCAAGCAAATAATGCAATGGGAAGCATCATATTTTCTGGCATATAAAAACTTATCAGCAACTTTAAAAACAGATGAGAGAATGATAGAATTAATGTAAAATCCTATAGGATAAATTAGTGTTATGGGCTTTACCCTTTTAGTGAAGGTGCAGCAGAGAGTTGAACTTCATCACTAACTTTCATTAACCTGTTCTGAACGCAACAGGGATTTATTAAATACATGAAATATTGTTCAATTTAAGTGATCAAAATAGAAATGCAACCCCGACTTACCTGAATAATTAATAAAGGAGAAATACTGTTTAAAAGACTTTTCAGAAATTAAACAAACGTTTATGTTGCAAAGTATACAACAAAATAGATAACCAAAGAAGCCACCAGTCTCTAGACTGCCATACATACAGATACATATTTCAAATATTGCAGTCAGCACAGTAAATATTCTGCCACGAACATTGTAAAACATCTCATAAAACTACGTCTTGATACTTAAACAAACGATCTCTCGTAAAAAGTTGTTTCCGAAACTTTTACGCAATGTTTCAGCAAATATTTCGGCATTTCGGCGCACTTCACGCGCCAAGAAAAGTGAAAACGCAAGCAGGAGAAAAACAAACACAAATACTCGGACAACCTACTATACTTCCGGTAGGCGGACAAATAGAGCTGACGGGTAAACTTAGATGAATTGTAAGAGTTTGTGTGAATAAATGACGATTCCCACCTTCAGAGTCTCCGATCTTTGACGCTGGACATTTTCCTCCAGCTGGAAAATTTGCTCATGTAGTCGTAGACAGACTACAAACGTCAGTTCCTGCTGGAGATCAGAGAGGAAAGATTACAGAGCAACAGCGACATCTAGAGCTCAGACTCTTTTGGTTCTTCTTCTTCTTCTTTGAGCTTATTGGCGGTTCGCATTCTTAAAAGAGCTTTACCGCCATCTACTGTGGTAATGGATCAGAGACACTACAGGTGCATCTCAATAAATTAGAATGTCGTGGAAAAGTTCATTTATTTCAGTAATTCAACTCAAATTGGGAAACTCATGTATTAAATAAATTCAATGCACACAGACTGAAGTAGTTTAAGTCTTTGGTTCTTTTAATTGTGATGATTTTGGCTAACATTTAACAAAAACCCACCAATTCACTATCTCAACAAATTAGAATATGGTGACATGCCAATCAGCTAATCAACTCAAAACACCTGCAACTTTTCCACGACATTCTAATTTATTGAGATGCACCTGTATATCCCTACTCCAAAGACCATCCAGGACTCGTGCTTTCAATATTGCTGCGTGTTCAGCTCCTCCATCTACAGCCCAAGTCCATCACAGTCCAGAGAGGAGAAATAACAACAATATTATTATTATTATTAATACTACTACTACTATTATTAACCATTACTATCATTATTAATAATAAAAACAATAATAACAATAGCCTATCTATATTCTATTCATTAAATGAGTTCTATTTCAAAAGTTGTATTAATTATTATTATCACTATCACTACCATTACTATCATTATTAATAATGACAACAATAATAACAATAGCCTATCTATATTCTATTCAGTAAACGAGTTCTATTTAAAAATTGTATTAATAAATGATCCCCTTCTACTGGATTTAAAAGCTTTTTTAATGTTAATCATTTAACACCTTTCTTCTTAAATTCTTCTGTTATATTACTTCTTTCCTCTGAATATCTATTACACTTAATGAGTACATGTTCCACTGTTTCTTTAATTCCACACCAATCACACAATCCTGTAGGGTGTTTTCCTATTATATGCATTGTTGAATTAAGACCTGTATGTCCAAGTCTTAATCTAGAAATAATGCAGTCTTCTTTCCTTCTCCCACTTGAATTCCTTCCTCTTCCTACCAATGGTTGTATTAAGTGTAGATGACTTCCCTTTTGTTCATTATCCCAATAAGATTGCCAGTTTTTATTTATCTCCCTTTTTATTATTGATTTGAGTTCTGCTTTGCTATACATTATTTCCATATCTATATTTTCCATAACTTGTTTTGCTAACTTGTCTGCTGCTTCATTACCTGATACTCATATGTGCCGGAACCCACAAAAACGGAACTATTTTATTTGTCTGTTGTATCATGTACAATATCTGTAGTATCTCCAAAACAATATCTTGCCTAGTTTCTGACTTTTTAGCTTCTAGGCATAACAAAGCTGAGCTTGAATCTGAGCATATTACAGATCTGCTTAGTCCTATTTCACTTATTTTATTCATTGCTATCATAATTGCTAGCCTATTAACTCTCCTGTAAACACAGAAACATCTGTTATTCTTTTCCCTCTTGCTACTTTCAACCTTGGAATGATATATGCTACCCCCACCTGACCATTCTGTGGATCCTTAGATGCATCTGTGTAAACCTGTATATATTGTTCATACTTGGATCCAATATATTCTTTTGTCATCTCTGCTTCTAACATACTCTGATCCTTATCTTGTCTTGATTCCAATAAGAATATATCTATATTTGGTTGTTGTGGTAAAATCCATATTGGCGTTGCTGGTAATATTACTGCTGGAATGACACTGTTCTCATTTAATTTCATGTCCTGCACTAAGTCCTTAATGATCCATCCAAAACTGTTAACTTTCCTTTTCCCGTGTTCCCAACATGCCTCAATTATACCTTTTGTCGGGTGACTCTTTTGGTTGTTGGAGTCTAACTACTTTATCAAATTAAAATAGCGCATCAATGCCACCTACTATTATAATATTCCAAGTATTCATATTTCATCTATTATCCCAGACAACCAGCTTCAGTACTAGTGTTGCCATTTTATGTATTTGCCCCTTCATTGATAAAGGATAATATTTTATATGCTATGCGATTTATTTGCATATCAACGTCATTCCTTTCCATAACTTGCTTTGTCAAAATGTATTCCTTTGAAAAAAAATGTGAAAAAAATTGAAAATGTCTTTTCAGTTTGACACAATGACAACGGTAAAGCATTGTTACGTAATGGGAGTAGCCTAACAGAACTGTTATTGTTTTAATGGGAAATACAATTTAAATGGGAAAGTTTCACATGCCTGACTCCAAACCAAATTTAAAAATGACTTCAAACTTCATTTTAATGTTTTACACAATCGTAAAGGTAAAAAAGCTTAGCAAGTATGAATTTGTTGCATAAAGTTTTTTTCCTCTTGTATATTAGGCCTATTATATATTAGCCTTATTTTTTTATTTTATTTTCTTAGCACTATCTATATTTCTTCTTTTTTTTATCTTACACACACACACACACACACACACACACACACACACACACACACACACACACACCACACT